CCAAAAATCAACTAGGCCAATAATCCTTTGTCAAATGTCTAATTCTCTAAAACAAGTATTTGGAGTTTAATCAACGCATGTAGTACACCTTTTGTTACTTGCTTTTTCTCTTTTTATTTCTATTTTCATTTTCATTTTATGTTCAAACTTATCTCAATTAAGCTTTATAAACTTAAGTCATGAAGGCTATAAAAAGAAGTTTAATAATGTGAGTTTCTTTCTTCTTTGAAATTATTTTCCCATGCAATGTCCAGTACAATGCCCCTAACTAAACACTCATTCTCAAAAATTGACACAAAAATTTACACTTAATTTTTTTCTTATTTGCATTAAACAATTAACAGAATATGCATATAATCTATATTTATCTCAATATCTCCCTACAACAGTTCAGTCGCCCCCAAATTATATGAAAATAGGTTTAAGGATGTACAATTTAGTGTTTATCTAGTTTTAGCATCTATGGTCCACTAAATTTATTTCAAACTATTCAAAATTTGAATCAAATTAATCCTTAATGATGCAAAACAATAATCTTGTGTGCAAAAATGTCAAATTTTACATTAATAAGCATAAATCAACCTATCATGCAACTTTTTCACTATTTATAACCTTACAGATGGTTCCAAATATATGCATCATAGTAGACGAATTTATATAATCAACAAAAGTATATAAAAGCAAAAATAAAACTGAAGATAATTTTTTTTTTTTAATTTTTGAAGTTTTTTTGCAAGTACCAAATAGTAAAAATAGATAAAAACTAGATATTTTTTAATCCCCAAATTTATAATAGATATTGCCCTTAATGTCTAAAAATATAACAAGTAATATAGAAAAACTAAGGATAAATAAGAGAACTAAGTATTCCCCTGATATATATATCTGAAGGTGGTAGATAGACTGGCATAAGAGTGTTGGATCACTTGTTATGTATTTTACCTTATCCAATGTACTTAGATGTCATGTTGTTTCTTCAAGATAAATAAATAAATAAATAAAATTCAATTATACCATGGAGCATAGTTAAACAAGCTCTAAAGCTTCTTAAAGGAAAATATGAAAATAAGGATACTCTAAATTACTAAAAGCAATAAAATATACAAAACTACTAAAAAAATGAAATTTACTAATCCTATATTTTAGAAAGTAAAAATAAATAAAAGAGAAGAAATTGAATTGCATTCCAATAAGTGCTTATTTATAGTCATTAGCTTGACTTTCATGTTCTGCACCATGAAATTCTGGAGAAAGCTTTTGATGCCATGCTTAATTTGTTTCTTTTGACTTTGGTCCACTTTCGTTAATTTTTCAAACCTTAACATTACCTCATTCTATGTGATATGATTCGTTTATTCCATCTTATTCCAAGCTAATTATGTAGACTTCTTCCTTCTTTGACTTAATCATAAATTCAATTGTTGGACAATCGATGAAGTCAAAAGAATATGAGTAAATTTCATCATCATTAATTGTCACATTTTTGCTTGGTTCCTTTATAATTAGTTTGTCATCGTCTTTATGCTCTTCTTCAATAATTGATATTTCTTCGAGTTAAATGGTCGGTTCACTATCTAAATTCATTGGCAATGTCACTTATTTCCTTTCAATCTTTTCAAGTGGATTATATCCCCATCATTTAAATTTGTCCCAAGATATGCCATCTCCATATGCATTTGTTTTCATCTGACTTAGCAAGTTCATTATAATATTTTACAAATATCTCTTCATTCAACATGAAAGGAACCAACTCCCACAAGCATGTCTAATGATACATAATCGATTGCCGGTATGTAGTTTTCATTAAATTTCTCAATTGCTCATTTTTGATAACTTAAATATTGTTGAAATTGTAGAAGCTTGAACCTTAGGGGTTCAACAGTGCGTCTTTATAAGCCGTGCCCAGTATAATGCAACCCGTAACAAAATTAACAATATATGTCTTCTACAAGCATATCTTCATCATCCACGTTGAGATTAATTATTGCAAATGGTTTGCTCTCTTGTTAATGTAAGAATCATCCATGTGCTATTGAATAGTACTTGGTAGAAAACCAAACAAAAGAGAGATATGGTGAGAAGCCTAAATTTAAAAAAACTAATAATAATAATAATAATAATAATAATAATAATAATAATAATAATAATAATAATAATAATAATAGTCAAATCCTAAATAAACTAATAAACTAAAATTAAATACTTTATTCCCGACAACGACGCCAAAAACTCGATCACTAAATCCCGCAAGCATACGAGATCATGGATAAGTAATCGATTTGAGTGAATTGAGAGCTTACGTCCCACAAGTAATAAATTTTAATTCAAATTTACTAATTTATATGTAATCTGAAGTGTGTAAACGAAAGAGTTTTTAATGTTGATTAGTCTATATTAACCTAAGAAAGCTGTTATTGAATTTCGAATTCATCTATTGTTACCTATTTTAAGTCTTAATTTGTAATCTAGTTCCATTCATATGTTCTTAACGTTCAATAAAATTAATATATTTAACTTTCTTTTCTAAGACAAAATAAATCTATTCTAACCACAACCCAAGTCTATCCTTAACCTAAATTCGAATCATTAGAATACATAAACTATATATTATTTACATGATTGCACATGAAATAAATATTATTCATAACATCTATTACACATATGTTAATTTTATTACATTCTAAACTTATTGTGAGTCTTCTGACACTGCAACAAACAACTAATTATCTAATTGATGGCAAAATAATTATATAATGCAATGAGAATATAAAATTAATCAAGAAAACAAGAATTACTAAACTATTAGTTTGAATTAAAATAAATAAATAATATGGTTCATCCTCATCAAATACAAAGAATCTAGCTAAACATATGTCAAATGATCAAACAAGAAGAAGAATAGAAAAACATCACCTAAATTTATAAATATAAGAAAGAGATGTCACGGTCTAATTTTTATTCTTAGTGTTCAACCCCAAGCTTTGATTTTTCAAGTTCTTGATGTTTCTTGATTTATCTACATGTTAGATTTGTTCTCCTCTCCAACTTATGATGAATTTGATTCTCGTTCTTGAATGATTTTATGACATGGAAGTGATTTGAGAGGTGGGAGAGATCCTTCAATGGTTGTCCATGTATTCTATTATATAAGGTGAAATTAGGTCAAAAAAATACGTTTAAGTTTGGGTTCCAAAAGAGTGTCAATTAAATAAGGAAAGTTGTCTTCGCACAAACATGATTATATCTTTACTCGGTCGTTAATTTTTTGTCATAACTTTCTATTTCAATATTTGATTAAGAAGATTCAAAATGTGTTAAAAAGTTAATTCGAAGGGCTACAACTAATAAAAAAAAGTAGCAATTTTTCTATTAGAGCGACTACTATGTCAAAATGGGTTTCAATCTCCGACTAAATTTCAGGAACATTACTTGTACAGTTGAAAATTGATTTGTTAGAATTTTTTTATTGAATTTCACTGTTTTTTGACTTCTAATTACATTCAATTGACTCTTAATAATCTTCAATTATACATTTTTTTTTTGTCTGAATCAATTATTGGATATTTGCAATTTTATCACGAACTTCGTATTCTTCTTTTTCAGTCCATTTTTCGCTTCTTTCTTCCAATTCACCCAATTTGTCACGAGTTTTACTTAAAACATAATTAAGCTCTAATTCATTCAAATTAACAATAGCTGCTTTCATTTAATAACCACATAAGCATATAAAAATACACTTATCAATTGGGTTGAGTTGGGTTTTATCAACCCTACATGCGTCATACAACTCCAAGCAATGTGGCACACTAATATTTATGTTGATTTTTTCTTTTCCTTATTTTTTTTTTATTTTTTATTTTTTTAACAAAACTCGATATAGTTTAGGGATCTCTTTATTGATTTGTTTATGATATTCAGAGAACAGAATGTCAAGGGTCTGCAATTGATATTTTTGTCACTGTAGCATGTTTAGTATGGTTTAAACTAAGAAAGTCATTCGTACAAAAAAAGGACTCACAAAATTCCACCAGATACCCATAATTTGTGAATCCCAAGTCGTGATAAAGGATACCAAAAAAATCCCCCACTCTTCCCCTCACCCAATTGTGTGTTGCCTGTGGCATTTCTACACACAGCTTTGTTGGGTTTAAACAGCACAACCAACAAGAATTCACCTACTTTTTTCTTCCTTAATATTACAAGATGATAAAATGGTCTGCCGACAATTAAGGGTGGACATGGTTCGATTTAGTTGGATTCTCATTAGAACCGAATCGAACCTGAAATTTTCAGGTATTTAATAAATAGTACCGTCGGATCCCAAGTTAATTATGGAACCGTTCGGATTCGGCTCCCAGGTTCTATACTATAATTAATTTTTTTAATATTTATAAAACTAAATTAATTCAATTAATGACATGTTTAATCTTAACTCTTACGAAATAACGTAATCCAATCTTATATGTCTTTTGCATTTCTCTTTGGTGAGTTTTTCATAGATTTGATTGTTATAATCACAGGAAGAGGACGATAGCAAGCTTACAATAATTAAGAGAGCTGCTGTCCAACTTTAATTCAATTTCTCCAAAACGGTAAAAATAACACTACGATAGAATAACATATTTGGATAAAACTTAGAACAGTTTGATTAAGTTGGACTCAGATTGAAAATTAGAAATATGAAAATCATATTTTTGGATTTGAGCTAAATTAATTAATTAACAAATTTATTTAAAAAAAAATAAAATAATTTGACTTATTTAAAATAAATAAATTAAAAAAATTATAGAGATTTAGTTCTTATTCAATTCTTCAATTCATGATCTAGATCCGAAAATCGAATCGAACCCGTCGGTTCTCGATTCAAACACCCATTCAAATATTTAATTTAAGAAGAACTGCTCGATTCGATTTAGTTCGAATCGGGTCCAATTCGGCCTCATTTGATTCGAGAGTTTTGTCTAACCTTAATAAAAACTATGCAATAGATCTCTTGCGAGTTCAAATCCTTTGCTATTCAAATAATGGCACCACAGGCCACAACAATTGCATGAACAATTGAATCAGTACACATTACAAATTTTAATCAAAATGACCTGTCATTTTTCCAATTCTCTGTTACATTCCACAAAATTATAGATAATCTTAAATCACTTGCTCAGACCAAAATTGCAGATTAATGGAAAAACTATTATCAATTACTCAACTCAGTTTGAAGCTTACTATCAGAATTAATCAATAACCGTACTTTAAGCGAGCATGACCCACAAGGAAGAACAACAGATGCAGGTGGAGATCTAGGCGCTTGCAAAACAATTTTACTCCCATTTTTCAACAGTGGATATCCCATATCTGACAACTCCAAAGAATCGATTAGGAAGTAATCGCCACATCTGCAGCCGTACGAAAGCTCAAAAATATCACCAACCTCTTCGATTGACAGATCCTCTAATCTGATATCTTCAGCAGTTGCAGAATCTTGCCTCGAAGATTGCAGCTCGTTATCATAAAGTGCACGAGATTTTGAATCTCCGAGGATTTCCCAAGCCCTCTGCACCTCTAAAAACCTTCCGCCCAACTCGTTTGCAGGATTTGATGTTTGGGATGTCGTTTGCATTTTATCTGGATGATAACTCAGAATGGCAGTTCGGTAGCATGTACGAATTTCGTCAGAGCTAGCATCTTCCTTCACATCGAGGATCTCATAATGAGATTTGAGGATTAAATTTCCACTCTCAATCATGATTGAACACTGCACGTATCAAAAGATCCATTACAAGAGCATCAAATGTATAGCAGGCTACAAGTTTGGCTATGCTTAAAAGGTTTTCTAACAGGTAAATAAGTTCTTTCAAAAAGAAAAAATTTATTGATCAAAGAAGGTAATGAATTATTTATTTTGACACTAAGGTATTACTTTGAGAAAAAATAACTTTTTATTAAAAGTAAGTTATCTAAAGACAAAAAGTTACTTAGGCCCCGTATGGTAGTTATTTTTTTCAAAATACGTTTTTCTCTTTTTTCTTTTCAACCACACATTCTTTATTAAAATAATATTACACGTAAATCAAAAACTTTTCCTTATTTTTCAACCACACAGTTCACATCAATTTACTATTCTAAAATGTATTTTTACATAAAAATCTCTATCAAACACTCCCTTAAAAATTAACTTTATTTTTTTTTGTAAGCTTAGCCAAAGATGCTGTAAGAAAACCTAGATTGCAAAGTCGAGGACCAAACAAGAGGCAAAAGACTACACCAACTATTGATTAAAATAATTCCCAAATCCTGCAATTAGTAGAAACCAAAGTTTCCTGTTATTCCATCATGGCATTTGAATCAGATTATACAGTCCTCATAATCCTATCAGGGAAATAGGCCCTTCCAGCTGTACATCTTCCAGGATCTATCTATTATGTGCATCTTACAGTAATATCTAGGAGCTTAATTCATAAAACAACTTCTTCCGTTTGGGCACTAACAAATGTACTTCTGTAACGTGTTGACCAACATATGAGCATAATCATCAGACTAAGCCACAAAATAGAAGAATAAACCAAAAAGTTTACCATGTTTGCACATCCAATCCCAAAAGCAGCCCAATTATCGTATTTTTTAGGTAGCCACAAGTTTTCTCCTTGTTTTTACTTGAACAACCAGAATGGCAAGGGAAAGTCAGCTTTTTACCCAAATTAAGGTGACTCAAGTTATTGATAATAAGTTGGCAGCTTTCGTCTTCCGGAGAGCATTCTGACAAAGTGCTTAGTTCAGTCTATACCATTATTTTGAAATAGAGATCCACAAACATGCCAAAGAAACAACATATCACCCCAAAGTCGGCTTTCATTTAATTCCGTAAGAAAGTAACTTTTTATTCTAAAATCCTATAGTGGGCCTATATTGTATGAAGTTTGCAACCATTTTTAACCAATAGGGGCTAACTAAATACAAAGTTTTGTCACTTGTTAAATACAACATCTCATTTTCCTATATCAACACATCTCAGTTTTTTTCTTTTTTTGTTCTTATCATTCTAACATTTTAATATTTAATATTTTCATTTCATGGGAATAAATAGCATCCATCAATGGTAACAGACAGTATCAAGCAAGCTCACAATAAAATTGTTGTACACAAGAAAAGTAAACATTTTTATATTTTATACTTTTAATTGTTAGATAACTTTACACCAATTAGAATGACAGTCAAACCACATAATATTTTGTAGAAACAGATCATCAGATAAAAAATCAGAACCCCCTTTTCCTTTTAATTTCAGCTTCATTTGTGAGGGTTCGCGAATCAATAAGATGTGAAGTAACATTCCAAGCCATAGTACTACCAGAAGCTTCTACCACTCCAATAATATGTAGACTCATCAAAATTTCCCCATCAGCAATATTAAATAATGCAATATCAAAAACCAAACATCAATAACGAAAAATTAAGCCCAAACAAGTAAATGGTCATGAAAAATGATTAGGCATACCGTTTTTAGTATGACCCTACACATCATAACAAAGAGCACAAACACAAAATTTTCATATTTGATGAATTTTAACTCAAATGTGTACAGGGCCGGAGCCGGACCTGGGGTATATTAACTGCCCCCACTGGATTTTGGTCCTGGGTATTTCACGTATTACACTTGAGGGGCAGCAAGTTTTCAAAGCTAGGAGAAAACAGTGAACAACCGCATCAAAAATTCAAGAGAAGTGTGGTCGAAAAAATCAATGTTGCTAGAGGAAAATTATCATCAAGAATCAACAGTTTTGGAACAAATTATAAGGAGTTGAGATAAAATTAAATCATTCACACAACATTCAAATAGAATGCGATTTCATCATATAAAGCCATTTTTACACTAATAAAATCCGATACTACCTCCCAAGTTTGGTGATGCAGAAGTTGAGTAGAAAGCACAGCACCACGAGATAAATTGGTGCCCAGGGGCGATGAATTGTTCCCGAATTTTAGCGTAAACCGAGGAAGAGATCCGATCGTCCCCTTTGCTCTATACATAAACTGTAAACAGGCTGGGTAAGAGTTGGATATCTCTGCCTTTAATTTGGGCTTTTTTTCAGATGGGCCTCAAGCAAGCGAGTAATAAAAAAAGTGGAAATTACACAAAATCATATCATTAAAATCTTAAATTCTAAAATCAGGGGGAAAGTTTAATATTTCAAAAATCAAAAATTTTATTTTAATTAATATTTCTATAAAATAAATATCATTACTCACAAACCCTAACTCTCTCTCTCTCACATTTCTCCATTCTACCCTAAAACACCCGTCGCCTCCCTGATTAAAAAGAAAATCGCCGTCTCCTTCTCTCTCTCAACCTTTCCCGGAAGCACAATTTCGGCATCGGAGGCGCGACCACCCTTCTAATCGGTGGAGTTGAGGCGCGGCACGGCGTTCCCATCAGCGACTAGCAGAGATCTATTGGCTCATCTACTTCGGCAGCGATCTGGAATGCACCACCATGCATCACAGCGATCTGTCGCCGTCACCGATGGTTATAGCTATGGATCGACTGTGACAGTTGTAATGGCTATGGTGCCGTGGTGGATTTGTTGTTGCGGTGTGGTGAATTTGTAGAGTTCTATAGCTGGTTTGTCGTGATGATGAAGTGGTGGTGGTGGTGCCGTGATGTACCTCGTGATTCATGAAGCATATCTGTAAGATCTACAAGAAGAGAAGGAGATCTTTTGAGATGAGACCGTGGTTTATTGCTGTGTCGTGGGTTGTGGTGGTGGCTACGATCATATGGTGGTGGTAGTGGCTACGGTGTTTATTGCTGTGTCGTGGGTTGTGGTGGTGGCTACGATCATATGGTGGTGGTAGTAGCTACGGTGGTGGTGATGTTCACTGTAGTGGTGGAGGTGGGAATGGCTTTGGATTGAGTTGTTATCTATGGTATTTTTAGGTGATATTTGGGTGGTGGTGGTGGTGGTGGCTGCTTACATATTTTGGCGTTGGCGGTGATGATCAACGATGGTGGTCGTGGTGATTGTGGCACGTTGGTGTTCTGCGATGTGTTGAGGTGGTGATGGTTCTGGTGGGTGGAACTAGCTGAAAAATTACGCTTGGGTGGTGTTGGTGAGGTTGTGAATTGAACATTGTTAGTGTGTTTGGTGGCGGTGGTTGTGGTGGTTTTTGGCGACAGTGGAGGTTGTTGGTTTCAGAGTTTGGCGTGTGGTGGTGGTGTGGTTACTGTGACGGTTGTCATGGGGGGTGGTGGTCGGGGTAGATGGGATGTAGGGGGTGTTTGTGACCAGTAATTTGTGTCTAATAATAACATGTAACCTAAAAAATGCAATTGTGACTATAATTTATTAAGTTGTGACCAATAAAAATTTTGATTTTGTAATCAATCAATAAATTGTGACTTATGAAATTTTTGATTTGTGACCGTAAAAAATTTGATTTTGTGAACGATCAATGAATTGTGACCTATAAAATTTTTGATTAGTGACTAACAAATTAAATGTGGCCAATAAAAAATTTGATTCTGTGACCAATCAATGAATTATGACCTATGAAATTTTTGATTTGTGACCGACAAATGAGTTGTGACCAATAAAAATTTTGATTTGTGACCGATCAATGAATTGTGACCTATGAAATTTTTGATCTGTGACCGACCAATAATTTGTGACCTGTAGAATTTTGAATTTGTGACTTATAAATAATTTGTGACCAATTAACTTGATAAGTTGTGACCAAATATATAAATTTTTAATCAATTATTTCATTAATAAATTTTAATAGTATCTGAAACTTGAAATTGCAAACCTTCTTCTCTTAATTTTGAAGTAGGCTATAAATAAACTCTTACAAATTAATTTTTCCATTTTTTTATTTCATAAATAATACGTGACCTAAAAATTGTGTTTGTGACTTATAATTTATTGAGTTGTGACTGAAAAATTAATCTGTGACCTATAAAATTTTTGATTCGTGATCGAAAAATAATATGTGACCTATAAAATTTGTATTTGTGACTTATAATTTATTGAGTTGTGACCGAAAAATTAATCTGTGACCTATAAAATTTTTGATTCGTGATCGAAAAATAATATGTGACCTATAAAATTTGTGTTTGTGACCGAAAAATAAGTTGTGACCAATAATATGATAAGTCGTGACTAAAAATTAATCCGTAACTAATTATTTTTGGATTTGTGACCAATAAACAAATTGTGACTTACAAAATTTTTGAATTGTGATTGTAAAAAAATTTGTGACATAAAATTTTTGATTTGTGACCAAAAAATAATAAGTAACTAATTATATTGTTAATTAGTGATCAAATTGTATAGATCCGTGACCTAAATATATTTAGTTAATAAAATAATTAATTAACTAATTAAATTATAAATAATTTTTAATAAAAATCTGATTTTAGAAATTTGAAACTTGTTTTCTTGTTTTGTGAAATGTGCCATAATTAATTTCTTAGTTATGAAATTTTCCCATAAAAAAAAATAAAAAAAGCTTTTACTTTTGACAAATTAAGTTATTAATAAAAAAAAATTGTTAAATCACATTCATTAATTTAATTAATTCAAAAATTTCAGAATTTTCGTGTATAATTTATTTATTTTTTTACGTTTCTAATATTGTTCCCAAAATTAAGATAATTTTAACGGTATGGTCTCTTTTTTATTGCAATATATAGAGTGCAAGTGGATCAATCACCTGATTTGTACTATAAAATAGTCATTATTTCTTCACTAACATAATTAGAAGGTCAATAAATTCAATATCACAACTTTAAATGGTTACGACTCATATGAGCTATAAATACATGTTGCTAAATATCCCATCAAATGTCATAGTTGTTGCATTTGACAACCATTTCTACATGAACAACCGTCACACGATGTTGTCGTAATTTTATCAAATAGAAGTAGTCAAAGTCAAAGTCACAATTGTTTGTTACATCTCATGTCAACTCATTCCATATGTATGGACTGTAATAATAAGATACATAATAAGTCATATAATTGCTTTTTGTTAATAGTCATCCAAGATCACATAGTAGGAGTCATATGTCCCAAGTCATAACATACCTTTAATGTTTCTTTTAACTAAATATCATTCCAGAATTTGCAGAATTTTATTTTGATAATGTCATCGGTTTTTTTTTTTTTTTTTAAGAATCTTCTAATAGAGGGAACCTACCACATTGGTTCACAATATTTTAAATAATATATTTTTAATTATTTTAGAGTGACCTGATTTTCGTGAAATGCTTCTCATTTCTCAAAATTTAACATTAATGATAGGATTTATCAAATTTTTCCTTATAAATATCCATTTCAATATGATTCGACATCTAATATCATGCACAAGTTGTATTCCAAATTAACCAAAATATGCTTTATCATAAACATTATGAGTAAATTGACCACAATTATGTAAATCCGAACAACATATTTTAACATCTATTTATTTGAAAAAAAAAAAAAAAGAAGGACCAGCGTAGGTAATAAAAAATGAAATATAAGAGTGAATTATCCAAATGTTAACTAAACTTTGTACAAAGTTTCCACTCAGAGACTAGAGTTTTGACCCGGGGGGAGGGGGTGGATTTTGAAAAGCTGAGATTTGTAGAAAAATAAAATATTGAAGATGAGATAGTAACACCACAGATTTGATGCAAGAGAACACCACTCTCCATAGTAGCGATGGTTGTGGGGGCGGGTCAGCTATTTCTGTCCCCCAATTGCATTGGGTATTTTTATTATAATTGCCCTGCTTCTATATCCAATTAAAACAAGACGAGTTGGGTTCAGAGCGAGATTGGGACGAGGCGGGGGTTTATTGTCCCATTTATTTTATTTTTTTTGTTTTTACTTTTTTATATCTTTAGTCAGTGAATATAATTATTATTTTTTAAATTTGTTAAGAACAACTCATGTTCTCTTTAAAAATAATGATAAATTTCTTCTTTTTGTTTGATAAAATTTATATTTAAAATTAACGTTAAACGTGATGGGTAGCGGGGCGATCATGTTTTTCATACGTTCTTTGAGGCAACAAACCCCATTCCGCCCCCCACACGTTTACTGAATTAGGCAGGTAATCCCCACACCACTCGGGTGAGGCGGCGAGTAGTGGGTTGAACGGGATTTTGTCCTCTCTATTCCACGACAAGAACTAGGAAGAGGAAATATATGGATGTGAACAAGTTAAAATTAGGTGACCAATCTTCATCAATTTTGCACAAGTCTGTAATTTCATCCTTAATTTAAAAATTTCTGATCAATTCTATCCATATTCTCTCATTCAATCTTTATGTTAATTTCATAAAAAAGTAAATTGTTAAATATTTAATTATTTAAATTTGATATGTAATTGTTGAATATTTATGAAAATAAACTATCGTAATTTTCCATAGACATTAGTATTTAAATAATTTGTGAACTGGTGTATTTGTTTATGATAATAACTGTTTGGTTACATTTAAATTGAAAAAATTAATTTAAAAGGTAATATAAATTGTTGTCTCGTATATGTAGCCTATTTTTATTTTTTTTTTAATTTAAAGAACTGTGCCTTCCAATCAATCAACATTGTAACATTATATTTCTCAAACTTTTTCTTTCAAGATATACTATAAGGGTTAGAGATATTCAAGAGTATTTACAGTTTTGAATATGGAATAAGTGTGTTATACTCTGATTTTGACATAACTAAAAACCTATAAATGCAGTCAACGCTTGTTAAGAATAAATTAGGACTAAGCGAGGGACGTCCATGTGCATGAGATGCAAATGAGTCAAAGTTTAAAACTAGCTAACAATATATGTGCTCGACATATATATTTTGTAGAACATTGAAGAGACTTGCAAAAGACTTCAGAAATATAGTAGAGAATTTGTTTTGAGCATTTTAGAATAAAGAAGATAGATCAAAATGACGTCGTAACTAGATGTCATATTTAAAAAGATATGAGAAACTCGTAATAGTTGAATAAAAATTAATAGAATCATATCTACAAAAAATTATTTCGCGCGGGTTAGTCGCTAACAATTAAAAA